AGTTGCCCTTATTGTCAAATTTATTAGTCATGTTAACGACTCCCTTCTGATCCTTTCTGCTTCTAGAATATCCTCCTCTGTTCAGGATTTACAGCAGGGCCGTTAGCGCCTTTTTTCTCGATATGTTTGTAAACACGGATCGTACATCAAAACTTTCCAATAAGTCAGTTTCTTCCAGTGCCATGTTTTAGATTCTTTGAGAAAATTCATTTGAATGTTTCACTGTGTTTGATAACCTATCATTTACCTTTTTCCGTTTCATACATGTGAGCTTTGCCAATTTGTATGTTGCTCCATACTTGTTGACTATCAACGGACTATCTTCGGTAGTCCGTAGGCTGTTGGTGGTCGTGCGTACTTTCTTGTGATTGACTTTTTTGTCCATGCGTTAATTTCCTCGTTCCTATGCATATCTTGCGTATTCCTGTCTTGGTTGGTGATGTGTCAAGTTATGGGATTAGTTTCATCTTCATTTTCCTTTTTGTCTCCTCAGGGAACTTTTTGGAGATATTGATAACTTCCACGAGGATATCTCCTAGAAGGCTTTTATCATTTTGAACTGGTATTTTTGGTCCTTTTTTAGGATCATGGTGGCATCGGGCTCAGAAAATACTACTAAATTCACTTCTTCCTTCCGATCGTCAGTAGGTTTTGTCACTTCGGAAACCACTTCAACTGGGCGAATTAGCCTTAATCTACGTTGTCTTATAGTCCATTCTTACGCAATTTATTGTCGTGTCGTTTTTGTATTAAGTCAGAGATCCTACGTGATTTCCTTTCGGTCATGCTCTGAAGTTTTTTAAAATCTTCCGGAGTCAGGATCGTGGCCAGATCACGCCGGACCTTTGACTTATTATTTATATTGTTGAGCTTATTATATATAAACTTAACTAGCTTATTCCTTACCGTATCATAGGTTTCACTTCTAAATAGAGGCCTGACGGAGAAACTCGTTAACCTTATCAGAATGGTAGGGTGTTTGAAGGTCGCAAGCGTCCACAATTTGCTCAGTTAGTGCTCGTTTAATCAAAGAGACGACCCGTGAAAACAATAAGTAATATCTGCAGTCATTGGACTTAGAGCCTAGATAGACTCTCTGCTCGGTGAGGCGGCAATGTACATGCTTCTAAGGGCTTGAGAAAAGCACCCGGAATAAAGCGCACACTAGGACTGGAAACATGTGAAATCGGCCAACCAGAAAGATAGGAAACAAATCTATGAGACCATGAGGGAGATTCGGGTATGAAGCCCTAGTCGGATTAGCTAATCGAAAGGGCTAAGGTGAATTGTAGATGTAATGAGGCCACACTAAACTTGTCAAAAAGGGCACACCTTTTAACGAGTAGTATGTAAATAAGTCAGAAGCGGTAATAGGACGGGAGTATGATAAAAAAGTAAGAAGTAGATAGATGGGCCAGGACAAAAGGAATTATAGTGCAACCGTTTGGGCAGAACTTTGGTCTCTGACGTGCTGTGGCTTGGTGTTGAGAATGACCAAACTCACCGATAATGCCGGCGAAAAATCGAAGAATGTACCAAGTCCATGGTATGATGCTTGGAATTATGATAACTACTATGGCATAGGATTTCGGACAAGGTGCATTCAGTTAAGTAACCCTGGCAACCAGGCCAAGTTGAGGTAACGAGCTCAACTCACTTTTATAAGTCTAAAGGCTATTGCGATCATACCATGGGCCAATCCATCTTGGTATTCATTTCATCATTTGTTTTTTTGGCTTTCAGATTGTATCTATATTTTTATGAATTAAATTCTAGTAATGAAGGTGTTATGCCAAAATATATTTTATGATAATCCTATCATACCTAGTTGAATCTAAGTCCATTAGTTATCCTTGTTATTGTGACTTATTCGTTAGAATTATTTCACCTATCTCCTTGAATAGGGTAGGTACGTCATCTGATGCCAACTTCATCATTGGTAAGCACAAATAATTGTTGCATTCTGATATTTTTTTCTCATTCTTTTTGCCCCCATGGTCCAGCCAAAGCCGCTGTGAATCGGCTCGAATGCGCTTCCCACGCAGCCCCTCCAACTACAATTGGCTCCGCTGGCTTTTCTGATGACTCTCTTTTATTAAACACTATAGCTGCTAGCAGCACTTGGTTGATTCCACGTCGTCTTGTTTCAATCTGCTTAGCACAGTTAGTTCGTCTACTAGTGTGTTTTGAAATTGGAAGTCAAGCTAGCGCCATTCAACCACACTTGTTTTCTACGAGCAACGATGAATCTGGTGACCAGATCCACCATTCTGCTTGCCTCGATGGTCGGAGCACCGAGTTGGCTGAAATATGGGCTGCTCACACCCTAACTAGGACCTTATGGCCAGAACATTTGGGCTCCGCACTTATTGAAGAACTCTGTCGACAGCACCGTTTTACTGGGCGTACAGCAAGGCTGGTGAAGAAGTAAGCAGGTCTGGCAGGCTTTTCCTCTGTTCTGTCTTGTTAAATTGGGTTTAGGATTTGTTTACTCTTGATATTTTGTGCTTATCTCTTTTTTTACAAATCAAATATTATTTCTCACTGTTCACTTTCTACTACATTCAGTTCCAGAAATAAATTTACTTCAACTGCAAGTTGAGATATTTGCATTTGTTCGATGAAAGAAAGTATGCATTTATATTTGCCTTTGTGTATTCTATCCTATATTAGAAGCTAACCTTAATGGATTGTCTAGTCAATCTAATCAGGAAACCTAGAAAGATTGCTCTTTTATTGCTTTATTATGCTTCTTATATTAGCGAATATTTAGTCGAACTCGATTATTCATAATATCCTTGAAAGATGTTCACTAGATTTCTTATAAAACTTTATTTTCTCGGTAGTTAAGAACTTATTTACTCATGTTTTGCCTCATGCTCTCACTGCTAATTATTAGTTCATTAAATGCCTTAAAATTGATTTTTCTTAGTGTAAAGCAGACTCCGATTCAGAATGGACAAAATAACTTACGCACACAAGTCCAGTTCAATCAGTGTCTTCAATACTTACTTTCTTTATTTTTGCATTTTGCTACCCTTGCATACATGTTTTTTATTCGTTTTACGTTTATTTCATTATTTACCACTGCTTCACTGTGAAATTTTCCTTGTGTATAATCTCACTTCAATTCATGCAGGCCGGAAGAAGGAAATAATTTTATTAAATTTTGCAATTTATACATTTATTTAAGTAGTTAATAACAATTTTATTGATCTTTTACCCACTTAATTCCTAAACAAATGTACTTTACATATCCATTAATATACATTCTTGTATATATAATTGTCTAGATTCCGATAGACTTCTTATTTTGATTTTTATCTGTATCTTTCTCTGTTTAATGGAATTTTTGAAATCTTTTTTTCATCCTTCTCTTTCATCCAGTTGTGTCACTAATCTCTCTCTTGATGCCTACAGCCTCATGACGAACGATCTTCTTCTTTGTCTCGTTAACCGATGGAATGAACTGCGCAAGCTTTCGTTGCGCAACCTGCAATCGGCCCAGCTTTCAGCTGAGAATTTAGCTCAATTATCATGTGATTATTAAGCCATATCCTTTTTCATCCTTTTTTTATAATAGATGATAAATTTACGCTATTCCGCTTTCATATTTCAAAATATGTCAAGGAGAGGCTTATTTACTGTTTTATTGTTTTAATGCAGTCCTTTAATCTGAGTTTTTTTAATCCTATTTCGCAATGATAAAATGTCAGTAGCATGAATCTTATCGTATATTAAACCCATGATACTAACTGAAAGGAATCGTTGAGTAGAGTTCATGAAATGGATAAAGCATGCTTAAGCATGGACTGATAGACTATTTTTGGAGCGTATACATGTTTTAATGGTCTTTAGCTTTGGTGTAGTCTTCTTTCGCTTTATAGACCTGGCTCGAGTTCATTTTCGCAGCTCGTTCGTATTTCCAGGAAAGCTTTCAAAAATTTACCTATACCTGAGTCCTCGGAAATTCACGAATGTTGACTGAATACGTTCACGGACGTTGACCAGGCTTCGTCAATAAGATCACTTCTTAGACCCGAGATGACTTGGGTTAGTGCATCAATCATTTGTCCAATTTTCTGTGGACGGTTTTGGCATCTCTCTTTTTATCCTGCTACCTTTTTTATCTCTTAGAGCTCTATACTTATCCTTAATTAGCATTTTATATGCCCAAATTTCCTTACCCCGATTTGAACCCTCTGTGGATTTATTGAAGACTAAGCACATCCACCATCGATTTCTAATTCCTTCAGTCGAACTTTTTGATAGGAATTGGTGCCCCAAACCGGCAATCTTCTTCACCCAATTCTTTCAGCTGATTCATTCTTAACTTGGAATTCTAAATCTTATCTAACTGGCTAACTGTATTTCGTTCTCAGCCCCCCTAGTCTCCATAATTTAGGATATAGTTACATCACCTTATCAGAAATTAGGATAGCCAATGTAAGTAAGCCTCATAAAAGATGATCAGCAAAACTGTGATTCTCACATATGCAGTCCTTTTAAAGTTTCTTGACTTCACAGTTATTGCTTAACAATTCCCTGTAGTACCTAGGTCTGGATTACCGGTGTAGAACTCTGCCTTATGCCTTATACTTAACTATTCCTCCATCATTTCATACCAACCTAACCACGAGGTATCACCTCGCCCACATCAGCATGCTAATTTTAGTCGTTAAATTTCATGGTCAGCCGTTAGCTTCATGGGCTACACCTGTGATTAAAGTTGGTTATTGCAAGCCAATCGTAATGATACCTCTATCATCCGTCACAACTATCGGATTGATTTGTTGTCGAGCTGTACCCTGACTTTCTTATGCCAAGAAGTAATCTATTATGATGATTGTGACTGTGCTTATTTATTCTACGTTGGACTACCAACCTTTTGAAGCTAATTTATAAGTTTAAAATTCATTTAAATGTTTTTTTATTGATTTAAATTCGTCCCCGGTGAACCTCTTCCTGGCGATGCCTTCATTATCTTTAAATGCATAGCCGTGATTTTGGCTTCTTTTTTCTGCCATTCCTATTTATTGGCTTTATCCAGGTTTGTCTAAGTAGTAATCAAGTTTCTCGCAAGCTCTTCTTCTTCAGTCATTTCTTTAATATATTCCTTTGACCAAGAATGTAGATGGTTTCTCTTGGCTCGCCTTTGTCTTTATTTTTACTGTCAGATTCTAGTCCCTCGCTTGCGTCCCATTTAATTTTATCGCCCCTCGAAGCTATGTTTTTCCTATTTTCAGTCTTTTTAACTGATTCTGCAGTTACTGGTGCTCTGCTTCGTATGCTTAATGTTGTTCATGTATCTTCAATTTACTTAGTACTTAATCATTGCAGTCGATAAGGTGAATTTCCTAGCATGGAAATTGACGGGTTTATTGTGTTCTAAAAGAAGGACGTGGACTGTCTCTAAAATATTAAATACTTGTTCTCTACAACTTCAAAGATGGAGAACTATAAACTAAGAGGGAAAAGGAAAAAGTATTAACAATTTGTCCTTTTTTGAAAAGGCTGAATACAGTATGGTTGGGCTGACAATAGAAAGACATTCATTTAAAGATGGCGCGAAATATAACTTTCTAAACATCGCGAGCAACAGCGGAGAGGAGGAAAAAGGAAAAGAACGTGACCAATTTAAAAAGGATATTAGCTACCTGTATACTCTTGCGTGGTTCTCCATGTCAAATTCTGATTGGACGATATGGTACTAAGCTTTGATTAGACGACACGAAATAAAGATACGAAGAAAAACTGGGTTTCGATGAATCTCCTGAGATAACATTGTTAGAGGGACCTTCATTTC